AGCTGGAATCACGTGGTTGCGCAAAAGAGACGCATACCTCTGACCAGTGACGGTTGCAGTAACAGGACCGGAAGCACCCGTCTGTTCGAAAAAATATGGTTTTAGGATAAATGATGCCGTAAAGCCTCACCATACCGTGACCTTTTCAGGATGAAGTGGTACGGGGTGCGTTGCCAGTGGATTTTCTGTTGCCCATATTCGACAATTCTGGGTATTCACGTATCCTGTCAGATGGAAATGGGCTTCATCTCTCCACAAAATTTTCCACGGCCATTCATTATCCACTTCCATGCGAGCCAGGAATTCTAACGCAAACGTCTCCCTAGCTGTCAGGTCAGGCGGAAGCAACTCCTGCACATGGCCAATTTTGTACGGATAGCATTGCAGGATGTTTCGTACAATTTTCAGCACCGTGCTCGTAGGCCTGTCCAATGTTCGTTCAATTCCTCGTGCACTTGCACTGTTGCACACCACCGGCCGACCCCTCCTGTAATGCTGTGGCCACTTCTTCAACTACCGTCGAATGCACTCGTTTTCTCCCTCTACCAGATTGCACATCAAACGAACCTATCGTTTCGAATTTTTGCATCATTTTCTTTAGACCTACGACACTCATTGGACCAATGCTTTCTTTTATACCCTTCAGTGTCCTGAATTTTTGCAGAGCTACTCTTGCACAATCATCATTCTTGTAATACAGCTTTACCAGCAGAGCGCGGTCCTGCAGTGAAACACCCATGGCGAACGTCTGAGACGCGAAATGAGGAACAGCCTGGTACCTGACGTTTTTATAACACTGAAATTTAACTAACATTTAATTTGTCTTCTTCCGCTTGCAGCGCGATCTGTTGCTAACTTTTGAAACTAAATTTTTTCTTCTGCCATACGCTTTCCGCCTTCTTCAATAACATTCCTTTCAAATTTGGCGTCATTTTCATGAGTGGTTCTTTTTCTATAGCGTTTTGAAACTTAAACTTTAATTATAATCACCCTGTAGTTTAAAATTAGATAAAAATCCATCACTATTTTATGAATTCCTAACAATAGACAGTTTCCGAATTAACAGTAGGCGATTTGATGATATGGTAAGGTTTAAAAAATAAATCCGTTTAGATAAAAATCTCTTTCCAAGCTAGACTACATAAAACAAACAATCCATGTTTGAGAGCTGCCTTTGGGATTGCAATAAGGAATTAAATGTCGCTGGGTAAGCCAGCATAAATCACTCCAGGTTGTCAAATGCAAGCATATGACGCGGAGTTTAAACTTAAGATGTATTATAGCGTATCCTCACGTTAATTCCCTTAATGTTAAAAACCTGCAAACTCTCCATGTTCAGGATGGATGAAGTGGGGGTTAACCTTTTATCCCCTGGATTACAGTTTTTCCCACTTTGTGGCACATTTGTAACTTATGAAAAAGAAGAAATTTTTCTCAGCCTTGAGCTGGATTCTAGAAATTGAAGCCTTTGAGTGCATTATACATATCTGCTATAGCCTTAGATTTGAAATCCTCGAGGTTATATGGTATATAACTCAAGTTATTACGACGTGAGCTATTTGAGACGTACTGCAGACTAGAACATAAATTAATTTGATATATATCGGATGTAACAGCGCTCTAGAGAAACTTTTTCAGATAATATTAGTAAATTGATATGTAGAGACATGAATGTGTATATTCGCAAACTATTACTTTCATCCCAAAAGATTCATGTTTTTTAACACCATCCATATTTATTAACTTATTTTCCGAACCGATTTTACGAACACATATTTTATTTAGAGGAATCTGTTATATAAAAGATTTTGATTTCCATTAAATTACCACATTCCCATGTGAGCTTAATTATTTCTATGTAGTAGTTTCCTATGTTAAATTGCTTCCCAAAAACCATTAGTGAGTCGTGCTTTCCGTCTTCTAGTACGTTATTTTCAGAAACGTAAACATGCTTTACAGCATATACTTCGATTTTTTTTTTTTTTTTTTTTTTTTTTTTTTTTTTTTTTTTTTTTGGATTCCTTGATGATTTATTGATTAGATAAAGAAAGTGGAGTTCAGTGGAAGGAATAAAACCTCTACATTTAGGTGCAATTATTGTGAGAGTTTCATTTCTGTGTCCAGGAGAGTAATCAAGAATTAAGAGAGCGTTAAAGCTCATGTTTTACTTTTAATAATATTCGACTTTTTAATAATTTTAGTAATATTCGACTTTTTTAATAAATGAATTTTCAAATCAGTCATTAAAGAAGACTATCACAATGCGGCTGATGCTCTGCACTCTACGTGTCTAACTGAAGTTCTCGCGTTGGAGAAATTGAATGGAGACAATTGAGAAACGCGTATTCACAAAATCATGTTCCGCAAGTCCGCGTTCGACAAGGTTTACTGTAATGTATTAACTCTGAGTTATTAAAACTGAAACCTCGCCCCTTCAGCGAATTCAAAATTCGCTGTAATTGATTTCACTACGTTAACTCTGTTTAGAGTTAGTAGGCGTTATTGAATTTTGAACTGAATTTTTATATTAAACTGATTGCATTGTGATAAATTTTACTCCGTATAGTCCTCATTGTAAAGATGCATTGAGACTTCAATTAACGCTGTTTCGATATTATTAGGCATTTTCTTTATCTTTTAAAAGCCCCACATTTTGAAATGATTCGTGATAATAATGTTATACGGGAGCTGCAAGAACTCTAATTTATTCATTATTATCGAATATAGTCATTATTAACTTTACTATTGAATAATTTCAACTATTGATAATGAAATGTTTGGATTACTAAATGATATTTAAATTAAATGATTGAGGTATTTAGTTATCAAACTAGAGTATAGATTTTATTCGACAGTTCACATCATTCTTCTCTGAAAACAAATTAACCTAAACACAGTACGCAACGTGTAGGCAATATATCTGCCAGGTAATGAAATATGCAAAGATATTTCACCAGAAAAATTTCGTTTACTGAGCTAGTTTTAAAAATTCAATAAATGAAATTAATGAATAAATATTATTTAATTACATTACTTTAAAGATGGAATCAAAGATTAGCTAAAAGGATAAGCAATGTTTGTGACAACGTTACTTGAGTTCTTCCTATACACAGCAACTAAATAAAGGCATATTTTGCTTTGAATAATTTACATTTTTTATTTGTACAGAGTGCTAACTCTTCTGATCGCTTAAGGGCTGTTCACACTGGGGTTTATCTGACATAATGTTGACATCTGATCCCACCGACGCTGCTCCAAACCCAGTTTTTCTTCATAGCGGAGAGAGTTCAAAAATCTGAACTTCAGGTGTAATGGAGCAACTCCGAACCGACTCCGTTAGCGCAGGTAAATCCTAGTGTGAATGGCCGTTTGGGGCGCCGAAAATACTGAAGTCGGCCTGAGATCAAGCATGGCAAATAACACCACTTTTTTTGTTATTTCTAATGCTTTTGCTCATCTTAGAAAACGACAGTCAGGTCTCAACCCTAATCCATTCTCACAAATCCGGCAGCACAGAACGGACACTACATAGAACCAACAACTTCTTTACTGGCATAGAATCGGCAAGGCACTTAGAAATTGCTTTTGACTCTATGCCGATGTCATTTCTGTACCGGTATTTGTCCTTTCTAGAGGCATCCTTATGCTGGTACCTTAAAAAACAAAAATTTAATCAAATGTTTTTCTCCTTTATTATGTGCTGTTGTTTATTATAGATTTTGGCTATATTATGCAATGTCTATTGCACGCCGTGTCATTCTTACGCTATGTCGATGATATGCCGATGACAAATGGGCATTAATCCTCTTACTCTTTATTACATCATTATCTAAATTTCTATTTTATCATATTGGTAATACGCTAGTAACTAGTGTCAGTTATACCACGGTGTCGGTTCAATGTAGTATCGATATTATGCCGGTGACAATTCTGTGCAGGAGACAAATATGACTTAATCTACATTATTATATTCCTTTCGAAATTTTTTATTTTATCATGTAAATCGTGTACCGGTAACTAGTATCAGCTGTATATTAATGTCGATTTTACGCAGCATTTGTCTATAGCTCATCGGATCTCACACACGTCTCTCGATGCAAACGGTGATCCTTCTCTCTTTGATTGTTTGCGCCACAGCTGCAGTTTTGAAGGCTGAGCTGTACACTGGAGAAAGACTAAGCGGCAGTTAAGCTCTGTTTCTGCCATATCTACCAACAGGCAATGAGAATGCTTTTGGTCTCGCTTATGTATCAAAAAGTCTGCTTTTTAATTTTAGACGACAAAAATTCCTATTTATACCAGTAAAAACAGCACTATGGCATTAAAAATTATTAATGTTATTAAAAGTTAATGTAAATTAAATGTTATTAATGCAATGTTATTAGAAGACAAACAAAGAAAATTTCTGACAGTGTAACATGAGCAGCAAATTGCTTCGATGGTATGTTTTACAAACATTAGTCTTACCTAATCGTATAAAAATTAAAGCAAATAAATAGATTAAAAATACTAATATATAAAACTCCATTCTTTCTAGTGTTAATATTATCTTTTCCAAAAACTTCTCAGAAAACTAAATGAAAAATTATTTCTTGCCTGCTTTGTCGAAGTCCAAATTAAATTTAATTGATAGTTTGAATTTGTCTCGAGACATCTGTTTCTGTGCAAGATGCAATCATCTTAAAATCGCGTACTTTTTTTTTCTTAATGTTCGTTCTGAAATTACTTAGCAAGTTTAGGAATACCAAAAATTTTCCAATGTGTATGGTGCTGCCATCTATAGGCAATAGGAGGAATGCTTTATTAATATTTGTATTAAGGTTACCTATGGAAAAATATTTTAGATTGGAATACCTTTTTAAAGTTCGAAGATGCAAGATTATGAATGTTAATTCATTTAAACGACTTTCTAAATAGCAGAATCAGTGTATGAAGAGAATTTGGTTTTATATTATGAATAACTTTATTAATGCATTTTAAAATTATATTTCTCCCTATAGCTCAATATCTATTTCCTTGGAAGAATTATGTGGGTGCTCATTACGAAACTCAGAGCAGCTACGAGTGCAGAGTCGAAGCAATACAGGTAAGATACTTTTTCTATAGCGTATCTTTAATTCACAATACATCATTAACTATTCCACATTTTTGTTTTTTATCTTAAGTCGCCATATAATACGCTAATTTTTCAGTGAAGTCAACTGTGTGTATTTTTTATATAATTTTAGACCTCATAAATCAGAAAATTTTAGATAAAATTCTGACTATCCACATATAATTTAAATAGATAAAAAGTAACCATAAATTAAGGAGGAAAAGTGCAGTTTCCTTCTGATCATTTTGTTGTGAACCATAGTTATTACATTTTTGTGAGATCTTGTCTCAATGTAGTTCAGATGCCGGTTTATGAAATCACTGAAGTTTTAGTCGTAAGAAACTCAATAACCAAGGGCCTTCCTAATCATTAATTAATTAAAAAAAACAGTAGGTTTAGCCTGATGATGTTCGCTTCCAAAATTCAAGGAAGGTGGATCCCCTTTTCCTTAATCCGCTGGTGTTTTAGTTTACAGAAATCATCACTTGTCTTTTAATTAATTTAATGTAAATTATTGCTAGTTATTTCCCTTATTCTCAATTATTTCATTATCTTATTCTATTGTTATATTTATTTATTCTGTTGTTCTCAGTCTAGAGAAATCTCAATTCTTGTTAAGTTTTATGACCAGAACTTTTCCTTTAGGATCAATCATAGTAATTTCTAAAATATAAATATTTTATGATGATTACTGAACGAAGATTTTGATTACGGTTATCATTATTTTTGTATAAACTAAACTGTTTCTCTTTTTCTATTTCTAAATATGCTTTTTGTAAACCATTCTCTAGTGAGCTTCTATATTTTTTCTGTACATGAACTAATATTGAAAAATTTCAAAAAAAAAAAAAAAAGAAGAAGAAGAAGAAACAATAGTTTATTTTATATGATTTTTAGTCCAAAGGAGCGTTAGCTCAGAAGAGCTATTAATCTCGAAACGGCATTTTGCGTCGAATCACTCGAAACGGCTGTATCTGCCACGAAATATTATCCCCCTATGTTATATTTAAAGAAATTAAACAACGAAGAATCTACATGAATGTAAGTATGTTTCTCTCATTGTGAAAAAACAACGATAACTAAAGCCACCAAATTTTGAATAACTTAGTTCTGCACCAGAATATGGGCATCTGTAAGCCCGAATCTTGACTTTTGAATTTGTTTTATTATCTGTTTCATATTTTTAAACTTTAACGAACTTTTTATTAAGAAACTCAACGATTTCAAGGCGAGCAGTAGCAACACTGTAGGGAATAAAATGCTTTTTATCTCACGCACGCGAGAATGTGTATCGGGAATTCTAAAAATATGCTGTTTTTAAATATTTTTAGTCCAAGTGCTCTCGAAACGTGTATGTATATGTAAATGAGAAAAGCGCCCATTTGGGCGTAGTATAAAATGTGAAAGCTTTTAGATTTTTTTTAAAGTTTTTTAATATTTTAAGGAGTTATGAATAAAATCCTGTCTTACGACGATAAAAAGTGTATGAAATGTTTTTAATGAGCTTTTGTTTTGAGTTAATAGCAAGTGATTTTAAGATGGAAACTACTGCATTTCTTGTCAAATAACTTCTTAGTTTATTCTTTCAGTACCATTATGACAGCCGTTATCCAGAATAGTATGAAAATTTTTGTTTTTAAAGACTGGTTAGTGTGATTTTTCCATTAAAAAGTAAACTTTAAAATTTCTGTGATTTAATTATTTCCCAAAAGACTAGTATGCAGAAACTTCTACTTTTTAAATTTCTAAAGGCTCAAAGATATTCTTGAATATCTGTGATATTATTCGGTGGTATTGTTCATTACCATTATAAAATGTTTCTACCACAGAATAAATTTTGATTAAAAAGTATGGAACACTTAAACCTCGTAATTAGCGTATTACTGCGAATGTAAACCTCAGTCGGATTTTAAATCAGTCGGATTAAAATCGAAAAACTGGAAAAGGCAAGGAAGATTATGCTTCATCTTTTCCATAGGTGTAGTAAGCAATTTATTACTTGATTTTTAGTTTGTTATTTATAGTAAATCTATAATTTTGTCTTCCATTACTTAGTTTGCATGCAATAACTTATGTTATCAGCAAATATTATGTTAAGAAATAGTTGTTCATCAATCGTCATATTTTTATCAGTCTAGGAACAAAATGCAATGTGCCCACTAGTACCAATCCTGACCCTGCGAAGATCGCTTCTAAAGGTGATAAGCAGTTCTGACAACATGAATAAATATTGGTTCAAACCAACATTCAAATATCAGCTTTAGAAGGCGAGAACTTCTCCAAAAGACTAAATTCATCTGGAACTATGGGTGGCTGTTTCGTATTTAGATTCTAAGGAAACAGTTATAAATTTTGGAAATAACTCAGTCTTTCTGTTCAGAGTTAAACATGTCGATTTAGGATTCAACATAGGGAGTTTTGTTACTTCAAAAAATATAACTTTGTTTATGAATTCTTGCAAAAAATTCAAATCCCAAAGACTTGACTATATGAAGTGAAGTCTAATTTCTTTTGTTCCACTTACTGAAAACATAATAACATTTATGAAACATTTCATTCCAGAAAGACCATTTATAGCTTCTTTATTCAAATTACTTCAATGTTTACATGTTTCTACCTACCAAAGATCCAAAAGATTTTTGAATCAACAAATCAGTTACTTAAAAATTAATTTCTGCACCTTTTATCACTTTGTAAGTTTTCTACAATGCGTTTTACAGAGTACCTGCTTGAAAAAGGCATTCATAGATTACTTTCTACCTTGTGCTCTTATAAAATGTAATTATTCGGCACTACTGGAAAAAGTAGGTAAATCTTACAATCATAATTTACCCCAAAGTTCAAGAACGTTTTTGTATTCTTCATCTGTCTGCCAGCTGGTAATTCTGGTATCAGCTATTTCTTCCAAAACTCCATTTGTAATCAATACCTTTCTACGAAGTCTCTTTTCCTTGCTGTTGGCATTGATCTTTTCACAGCAATAAAATAAAGTTAAAAATCGATTAAATGCACTGCGCTAGAAAAGCAAATAAAATACCCCGAACAAATATAATTAAAGCATTCAGCAATATACTTGAAAGAATGTGTAACTGGAATAATAATTTGGCTCAGATAATCATTAAAGGTATTAATAAGTCTTATTGAAGTAATAATATGGTTCATGGAATCACTAAGTTTGGAATAGGAAATATGCAACTAACAAATATTTCTCTAAATATAAGTATGCGTATTTCAAAGCAAACTAACTGAAAACTTTTCTGTTTTTAATGTATAGTAAAATAATATTTTGATTACAACGATTTCACATATAGTCAACTTGACTTGTAATTAGACCTCATATACTTTTTCTATATTTTAACATACAAAATTTGTTAAAAATCACTAAAAGAGAATAAAACTGATAGAAAAATAGAGAACTTTTAAAGGAGTTTGTTAATTAAAGTATCTAAAATGTACTCCGGTCGTTCTTCCGTTAGAAGTTCATTGTATTAAAAAAGCGAAAAATATGTGCGTTTTAATATCAGTATTTTGTTTCTTTTTAATCCGAAACAAAATATTTCATTTGATGTCATTTTCGATATTTAACTCAAAATATGTTTATATGCGATTAAAATGAATCCTTGATTTCAGATCAAATTATGCTTTATATTATTAAGGAGAAAAAAACTTCCAGTACATGCATGTGCAGTTTTTTCTGTGACTTTTTTTTTGCTTTTTCAACTCTGTATTGAGTTTTAATTTTCCTTTATTATTATGAAGTTACTAACTCTTAATTAAATTAGTTAAGAAACGTGCACTCTCCCTGCACTCTTTGAATAAATAGATATAAAACTGAATGCCAAAAATTTCTGGGCTCTAAAAGAAAATCATTTTGATTGTTGTGAATGTTTAAGATGAACTTCTACCTCAACAAAAATTATCTAATGTAAGTTTTTCCGCCTTCTCTGATGAAAAAGAAATTAAATACTAACTATATGCTATAAAGTATTAAACTGTATTTTTTTTTCAAAATGTCTGCATATAGTCATTAAAAACCTTTCATAAATTATACACATTTTTTATTTTTTTTTTCGTAATCTTTCTTCAAATGTTTTTATGTGTTTCTATTCATTATTTATGTATCTTAATATTTGTGAACTTAAGCATGTTTAATTAAGCAATTTTCAGTTTTTCCTTAGTTTCTTTTTTTTCCTTTGTTGCAATATCCTTTTTCTAAATATTCTTTCGTTAGGGCCCGATTAGCGGCAAATAAGAAACCTGTGTCAAATTATCATATTAAGTAAGTATGATGTTTTATTTGGCAGGAATAATCAGTTAGATTAATCCTGTTGTAACACTCACTATACTGTATCGTTGCTGATAGTTTCATAATTTTAAATTGCTCTTCAGATGAAAGCACAAACACAAACTGAAATTAGTTTCATTTTATACAATGCGCTTAAAATCAATGGTAATTATGCACTAATTTATTATGTAAGGAAAGAAACTGATATCAGCATCAAATGGATAACGTCTGAAAGAAAAAAACTAATTTTTATACCACTTTCACGTGCAAACATTAAGCATAGGAACCATATGTAACTCGTTAAATGTTCACGTAATGATCTAGCTCTTATCATTTTCTAGTATTATTTTTAGGAATATGATGAAAGCTTGTACTATTTTTTAATTTTTGAACATTACGTGGGAAAAATACGTTTAATGTAGCTCTGCAAGAAAAGCATGTATTTCATTTAATCCCGGAAACTGTATCCGTGAAGATATCTACAAAGTTTAATAGTTTTATCCAATATATTTCCACCTATACCTTCAGTCTACTGACTGTATAGATTTTATGCTATCCAGTATACTGTAAATGAACTTACCCGCTCATAGAGGCGGTCGCTGAGATTGTCCTTTCAGATGGTTTCGATATTTGTCCTACATTTCGTATAATTACTTACTAAAATTATTCCCACCATTTGCGAACACCCTTTAATATAGAGCTAATA